ATGATCATTGGAAGATCACCGGCTGTATTTAAGGAGGTAGTCGTTGATCTGGAAACTTTGAAAGTAAAATATGACGAAGAAGATTTGGCATTGATCCTTTTATGTTCGTTGTTCGCTTCATTTTCTTCATTTAGAGACACGATCTTGTATAACTGTGATACTTTCACTATAGAGGAGGTGTATGATGATTTATTTTCAAAAGATAAGATGAAGTGTTTGGTATCTGAGGCCAGTGATGGATAAGCCTTATTGCTCATGGTAATTCTGGACGGGGTAGATCCAAGTCTAAGTTTAGTAATCAGATTCATAACTTCTACAAGAAGAAGGGACACATGAAGAATGGTTGCTACAAATTGCAAAATAAAGATAGGTTGGCTGCAAGTCGATATGAGAAGTAGTCAGAGATTTCGGGTGAAGCAGACAGAGAACATTGTAGGTAAGGAAGATCTTGACTATTTCTGACATCGAGTCTAAACCAGATGAGGATTGTATTCTGGATTCAGTGTGTGTGTGTGTGTTTTATATGTGTCCTAATAATGACTTGTTTACTACATACGAAATCGTTTCCAAAGGTGTCGTGGTTATGGAAAATAACACACCCTGTCGGGTTGCTAGAATTGGTATGGTCAAATTGAAGCTATGGATGTGACAATTAGAACACTTGACCATGTTCAACATGTTTCAGATTTGAAAAAAAATCTCATCTCGTTGTCTATCATTAATTCAAAAGGATATTAGTTCTTTGGTAGATGTGTAGTTTTGAAGGTTTGTAAAGGTGCTCAAGTTGTATTGGAGGGACAGAAAATGTCTCAATTATACTTATTGCATGGTTGTGCATAATTTAGAAGAGTCAATCAGCACAAATTCAGTACCGTGGTGGATATTCAATTTGGTACAATACCTTTAGGAGCTCATAAATTGTCGAATTTGAAAAATATAGTTCGGTGGAGTTCAGGAGATATGGATAATATCGCTTTGCCACCATCACCTAAGGTGTCATTGTGTTCAATTATTAGGGACGGACCCAGTGGAAAAAAGTATGTAGATGCTTATTTTGTTGAGCATACTTTCAAAGTAGTAGAATATGTACAATCTAACAAGGGGCCTTCTATAAAAGCATTTTAGTTTGATTCTGCTTTGGAGTGCGTTATAGCCCAAATTGGTGAATTTTAAAATCATTATTATTTTTTGCGAATTTGAGGTAATTTTACAGAGTAGTACTTCGATTCATTGGAATGGGGTGGAGTATTTTATGTTTGGTTAGAGAAATCATTTTTGATTATTGTTGAAAAGTCGTTCATTCCTTACATATAGATTTTCTTCTCCAAGTAGAGAAAATTTTGAAGATTTGTTTGTTGCAGTGAAATTCGTGTCAATGTGAAGATTGTTAGAATTTAGATGTGACCCGAATTCCTTATTGAAATAATTGAAGTGCATGTCAAAAGGAATTCAATTTAGAATGATATTTGAGTTTTATCAAAGTTGAAAATTTATTTGAAAACCCTATTGGGAGTTGTAATTTGTATTGAACTTGAAAATGTTGAAATTATGGACCGGAAAAAAAAATCGCCACATTTTCGCTAGCCTACCGTTGGCTGGCCGCTCGAGCAACACTTGCAGGTTTTCTCCTGAGACTTGGTCGCCTGTCTGACGCTCGAACAACGGATTGTCGCTCAACAGGGTTATCTGCTCAGGCCTGTTTCGCGCGTTAACAATTTTTGACATTCTACTTCAACTACAATTCATCTATTAGGGTTTGAATGTCGCCCTACATAGTTGCTTATAAATATTAGGCTCTTCTATACAATTTTATGGAGTGAGAAAAGTGATTATTAGCTTTTAGGATCATTGTAATATTTCTTTATCTTCATTATTTGTGGTGCAATAAAATTTCCTAATTCCTCTGCCATATTTTATTGTCTTCTTTTACTCGTGATCAAATACTTAATTATTTTGCCATATAACTTCAACAACTCAATCTAATGGTTGGTTTCATATCAAGTGGTATCGAGCAATACGCGATCCTTGAATTTTCAATAATTGGTATCAGAGATTATGAGCATAATTAACACAACAAGTGGTATCAAAGCAATTATAATATCTTGTTTATTTTACAACACATACGAGTGTGGTTTTCTCTGTTATTTTGAATAATGCTATTGTAGCAACATACATATTTAGCATCGATATAGATAATAGTGGAGTCTAGAGCCTCATTATTCGTTGATTTATCCGACAATTAAACTATCATACTGTCATCTAAATTGATGCTAAACACTAATGGTATTATATAGTATTACTCAATGAGTTTCACCAAATTTCAATACAATTTTTTTGTACAATTAATGGCTCTCAAACATTAATGGGACAATGATGTGCCCTTGTTCGAGCCTCATTTTTTGGGGAGGATAGATTTTGTAATAATATTTTTTTGAAAATTTTGTGGTTAAAAGAGTAATTTTTTTCAATACCATTAGTGTTAAGCATCACTTTAGGTGATAATTGCATATCACTGAATGATGTATTCACTTGAATACAATATCACGTAATTAATTTAATTGAATATATCAAAGGTGGCTAGGAGTGGGCGCGAGTCGGTTAGAGTCGGTTTTTTTCGGTTCCAGAAATTTTCGGATATTTAGTAAATGGAACCGTCGGTTCCAAATATAATTTTGGAACCGTTCGGTTTCGGTTCGGTTCGGTTCGGTTCTGTTCGGTTCGGTTCGGTTCCGTACTATAATTAAATTTTTTAACA